GAACACACAGCACTAATACTTTTGACACACGCTGTTCTCAAGCACTTGTTTCATTGTCATCAGATTTTTTTTTTTTTTAAAGGAAATAAAACATCTAACTACTTTCAAAAGTCTCTTTGACTTTCAATCATGAGCGTGTTGCTTATTAGTGAGACGAATTTATAGGTAAGGCGCTAATCTTTTATAATCATCCTTTTATAGGCAGATGCCATCAGGTTTGCATAAGTAGTGACATTAACCGTTATAGCTTTAAGTAGAAATCAGAGTGCAGAAACGTAAATAACTACTGGATTTTAATATGTAATTAGTGATGCGAAACCTTAGTTAGAATATTTAATTACAAAAAATGGGTATGTTTCAGCACACTTGTTCCAAACCTGTGGTACGTCTGACGCGTGCAGAGCCGCCGGCCTTGAGCATTTACCCGGCATTTTGCGACCTCCCGGCGCAGCTGGGAGCTCCGGCGCGGCTGGGTCTACACAGATTTGTGCAATTGGATAAGAACCCAAGAATCAAATCCTAAATCCTATCTATTTGTGGGGATTAGCCTGTTCAGCTAATTCACTGAGGTAGGATTTTTAGTTATTCGACTAGTCTTTCAGACGGCATCCTGAGGGAAATCAGGCAGCATCTCTCCAGCTTGTACACACCAGCAGCCAGCCCACGCGGGTGGCTCCACTGGCCGGTGAGCAATGCTGTCACTGCACTGGGAGCCGGCGCCGCGATGCTCAGGCGAACAGCAGCCGTGCCTGTCACAAGTGAAGAGAGTGGAAAGCTTTCACACGTTGACGCCTATAGCCCAATTACAGGGAGATTAGCAAGTTTATTTTTCCCACCTTTAAGTAGCAGCCCACCTCCCCTCCCCTCATCCAGCCAAACGCCGTAATATTTTATGAAATCTCTAGTGTCACTTCAGCAAGGCTCCTGATAGACGTAGGGGGGAGGGGATGAAATAAAAGAAGGAGACAAATAAAGGACAAAGGGCAAAATGCTGCTTGATTTATGTACGGCATCCTCAGGAGAAACTCCCCTCCACTCCAGCGGCTGCAGGATCGGTCCTCAGATTTGCAAAAGGAGTTTCCCTCCGATCCCCACCTCACTGCAGCCTTCAGGGAGCTTCGGTAATTAGGGCTGTGTGTGCACTTCCATTACAACTCCTGCCACGGGAACTCTCTTCCCTGGGCTGGAGGTAGGACTCGGGTCTCGGACACAATAGGAAAGTTCAGCCTTTCCCCTGTGCCGGTTTTGTCCTGCATAAGCCCCGGCTGGCGCACACCGTGCGGGCTGATTGCTGCTCTTCTCAAGCCTCCAGGAGCCAAGCGTGGTCCTGGGGTGTCCTACAGCAGAAAAAGTGGGAGGCGTGCCCTGCTGTGCAGGGGGACACCCCTACTGCACCCAGCGCCGCCTGCGAGTGAGCTGCGCAGCCGGGGGCTAGGACGGCCCCTTGCCCCCTGCAGAGCCGAGCTCATCCCTTGCCCCGCCGGGCTGAGCCGTGGGGCTCTCACTGGGAACAAGGGATAGCTGGCAAGGGGGGAGACAGGAAGGGGGCTAACCCGGCTGCCCTGCTGCGGGGACATGGCTCAGGCGCCCTCCCTGCCCCTCGCTGCCCCTCGCTGCCCCTCGCTGCCCCTCACTGTCCTACACTGTCCCTCGCTGCCTGGATGGGGAGCACGCGTGGGCAAGCGGGCACCCACCAGCTCGGGCAAGGAGCAGGAGCACCACAGGGGGCTGCAGCCCCACGGGCTGCGCTGCCTCCCCCCCAAACGCCAGCGGGCACCCGACCCTGCAGGTACGGCTTCGGGGTGGGTGGCTGCACCACTCCGAACGGGGCTGACCTTGGGCCGGTTCTGCCGGAGCTCCCCTCCGGGTGGGCTGTGAGCTGGACACAGGCCTGGCCAACAAGTCCCGGGTCTGGTTTGGAGTGTGTTTCTGCACCCTGCCCCGCAGGCAGCAGCACTAGTGCCCGATGTAACTCATCAGGAGGAGGGAGTGGGAGCGCGCTGCCGTTGTCTCTGACTCCATTTACTGCTGAGGACTTTTATTTTTTGACTGGGTGAATGAAAAGGGTATTATGAGCAAGTTACAG